GCACCCCTGGATTTCCCAATACTAATAAAGTTCAAGGCCGGCCTGGGCAACTTAACAAGACCCTGTCTCAGTATAAAAAAATTCTTTAAAAGGGCTGGGGATATAGCTCAGGGATACAGTGAGCTCCCTAGGTTCGATCCCCAGGACCACACACACACAAGATTCCCCCCCTACACCCCCTCAAAAAAACACAAGAATTAAGAATTATTATTGCTGGGCAAGGTGGCACATGCCTGTAATCCTAGCAGCTCAAGAGCCTGGGGCCGGTGGTGAAGGAGAGGCAGAAAACAGATTATTTTATCCTAGAACAAATGGAGCCTAGAGAATATGCATATTCCTTTATTTTAAAAAAGTGTGTGTGCATGCACATGTACAGAATTGAAGAGTTTGTTATTCTGATAAGGAAGTACTCCTATTAGGGAAAATTTTAAGTATTTAACAAATACTTTTTGTCAGTTGGGGTTTTCTAAAAATGGAATGCATCTATTATTTCATTATCTCAGATTACTGAATAAAATCTACAGAAGTTACCTATGATATTTTAAGTTTTTCTTTATTATCTAAACTTTTATGTTATGAATATGATGAAAGGCACTCTCATTTCTGACTATAATCTCACACTATCATGCTTTTAGATAAATAATGCAGGAATTCCAAGGAGGTTCTATACCAAACCATTCACACTTCATTGTAATCATCATCAGAAGGTATTTGAAAAGATAGTTCCTTTTAAAGGGGAGAAACTACTGCCTTGATCAACAGTAACATAATAAAAATTCCAGCTTGCTCCATAGCATCAAAATGAGCTCAGGGGTGTTCTCTATGTCCTAAACCATCAACTAATAGAGGAAAAATTCCAAGAAGCAAAGAAATTCAGATGTTCCTCATTAACATCAAGAAAAGGTGAGGGCAGGATTTTATAATATGCAAAACAGAAGAAACTACCTTTTCCCATCATACATTCATTGCCTCCAAAGCTAAGAATCAGTTTAGAGGTACTAAAAAGGGCTGGGGATGTGGCTCAAGCGGGTTCGATCCTCAGCACCACATACCAACAAAGATGTTGTGTCTGCCGAAAACTGAAAAATAAATATTAAAAAAAAAAAAGAGGTACTAAAAAAGTGAAAAAAGGATGAATCAAAAAACAAAAATACCAAGAAACAGTATAAGTCTCACAGTCTCCACCACAGTTCCTGTGGTGCCAACCACTGCATGGTGAAAAAGATGTTAGAAATCTATTAACACCTAAAAGTTAAAGAAGTTATACTATGAGAATTTTAAAGAATGACTGGCAGTTATTCAAACAATTATGTCCAACAGAAAAAAGAATTAAACTTGAAAATAAATTATACCAAATGTTCAAAAATTAACAACATTTGATAAGAGAGAAGAGTTGTACAAAAAGCTCTGTGCCAACTTTTAACTACAGCTGTAGTGGAACACACTAAAAGCCTTGTTTTAAGACAAAAGCAGTGGAATAAAAAACAATGACCATAAATTTAAATTTGCCTTTTTTCCAACAAAGGACGAATGAGATAAAAGGCAATACAATAAAGGACAAAATAGAAGAAAACATTATTGAACAAATTTTCATACAAGACTAAAATATTCATACATTTTTTACAAGTTAAAATTAAAGGTAAAAGAGTGGGCTGGGATTGGGGCTCAGCGGTAGAGCACTCGCCTAGCACGGTTGGGGCCCCGGGTTCCATCCTCAGCACCACATAAAAAAATAAAGGCATTGTGTTATGTCCATCTACACCTAAAAAATAAATTTAAAAAAATAAATAAAGATAAAAGAGTTGGGGATGTAGCTCAGTAGAACAGCACTTGCCTAGTATGCACAAAACCCTGACCTAGGTTCATTGCCCAGCACCACAAATAACAAGAATTTTCAGTGGGGCACTGTGGCATTATAATCTCAATGGCTCAGGAGGCTGAGGCAGGACAAGTTCAAAGCTAGCCTCAAAAACTTAGCAAGGCCCTAAGCAAGTTTGTGAGACCTTGATTCAAAATAAAAAATAAAGACTGGGGATGTGGCTCAAGCAGTAGCACGCTCGCCTGGCATGCGTGTGGCCCGGGTTCGATCCTCAGCACCACATACAAATACAAAGATGTTGTGTCCGCCAAACACTAAAAAATAAAATATTAAAAAATTCTCTCTCTCTCTCTCTCCTCTCTATCTTAAAAAAAATTATAAAAAAATAAAATAAAAAATAAATAATAATATTGGGGATGTGGCTCAGTGGCTTAAGCACCCCTGGGTTAAAAAAAAAAAAAAAATTCCACACATTTTTTTACGCTTCAGAATTAAAGGTAAAGGGGCTGAAGGTGTAATAGCAAGGTAGTAGAAAGGCAAGGCACTTAGATCCACAGTACAAAAACAAAAACAAAAATCAAATTTAAGGTAAACACTCTCAAAGACTAATAAATCTAACACATACAACAAAATAGGAGATTTAAGCTATTCATTTTTTTAACTTTTTTTTTTTTTTGGTGTAGATGAACACAATACCTTTATTTTTATGTGATGCTGAGAATCGAACCCAGTGTTTCACATGTGCTAAGCAAGTGCTCTACCACTGAGCCACAACACCAGTTCAAGCCATTCTTTTTTTTTTTTTTTTTTTTAGTTTTTAGTTTTCAGCGGACACAACATCTTTGTTTGTATGTGGTAGTGAGGATCGAACCCGGGCCGTACGCATGGCAGGCGAGCGCGCTACTGCTTGAGCCACATCCCCAGCCCCTCAAGCCATTCTTTTTAACAGGACTGAAATTAAAAAGCCTTTGTTTTAAATCAGTGTATATGCTACAAGGAATCCTTGCATACTACCAATTCCAAATTGTGAGTTTTTTTGTTTTGTTTTGTTTTGTTTTTGTGGTGCTGGGGATTGAACCTGCAGCCTTGTGCATGCAATGCAAGCACTCTACCAACTGAGCTATAACCCAGCCCCAAATTGTGAGGGTTTTTTTAACCACACAATTATTCCAAAATTAGGCAAAAATGCTACAATTTGCAACCCATTATTTTCTTTCACAGTTTTTTTTTTTTTAACAAAATTGCATTGGAGTAAGATTATTCTAACTAGTACCCATTTGCCTTAACCATCAGTTATTCCAAAGACTTTTTAAAAGTTAAACTTTATCCATTGAAGTTAAATAATATTTTGCTAAAAATGCTTTTATAGAAAAAAAATTCCGTTTTGTGCAAAAATATTTCCAATATCTATAAATAAAAATTTATATTTAAAAGTAGAGCGTATGGGGCTGGGGCTCAGTGGTAGTGCGCTTGCCTAGCATGCGTGAGGCACTGGGTTCGATTCTCAAAACCACGTATAAATAAAATAAATGTCCATCAACAACTAAAAAATGAAAAAAAAAAAAGTAGAGAGTACCTCAACATGAACAATGCAATACCTTTTCCATTTGCCACTAATAACTTGCACCTTTACTTAGCAATTTTAAATTCCTGCATCTGAAAAATATAGCATGTGTTGACAAATACACACACATACATAAAGTGTAATTTATATTCACAAAAAATGAAGCAAACGGTAGGAATATCACTGTTACATAATATTCTAAAAATGTGTTTTTTACTAGGTGTTCCTAGTATCATGGTGTCACTATTAAACAGTTCCATATCAATACTATCTTCTACAAAGCTGACCCAATTTAAAGCCTGAAACTAAAGCTTCTACCTTTAGAGAAGGGTAGAAAACAAGAGTTAAGTAATTGGTTAAGTCCTAAAAATACACATCACAACTACATGACTAAGATACTCATTTAAAACCTGTGCCAAGATAACCCCTCCCTTCAAAACAAACTAAAACTGACTCACTGGCCTATTTCACTTAATTTTGGAAATAAAAAAATTTTAAAAAATGGATTCCTAAGTACTCATTTCCTCAGTCTTGCCACCAAAATTTAAAAATTCAAATCTTCAATTTGGGATTCCTCCCTGCAAAAATGCTAAACCCAAAACAAAAGAAAAACTACCTCCAAGTCATCTACCTTGGAGTTTTTAGAAAAATACACTGGATTCCAGAATAATTTTGGAAGCACTGTTCTAAAATCACAGGAAACAATAGAAACAATGTCTATGGTCGCTAAGGATCCATCCCACCCAGAGAAAACCATCTCACCTGCGATACTTTTCATCTGTGAAATGACTCCACTCGCTGGAGTTCTACCTGAGCAAAATCTTTCCATTTTGTTTCCCTAAAGTGGGAAACTATCAATCTCCCCTCAAGACACGTTCCACCCTTTTTGGGTGTTTCTACCTGAAGAAAAAAAAATGCTAGTAAACTTGATGGCGGGGTGAGGACAAAGGGCGTTTTTAAAGAAGCACTGAGGTAAATGGAGAATGAGGACAGAAAGAAGGCTAAAGTTCCTTCAAGTGGATAATGGCAAGACAACGCCAAGCACCTCTCTTTTTTAAACCACCCCTAGGGTCCTTTATTACCGCACACTGGAATGTAAAGTTGGAACTACCACTATCCAAGAAGCCCAATGAAACCTCAAAATGTCAGGGCACTGGCAGCCTCTGGAATGACAGGCTAATTCCCCTCCCCCCACCCCCCACCCCCAAAAAAAGAAAAGTCCAATCCAATAAGTGCAGGTCACCCTGCCCTCTGGGGCAGTTCCAGCCTGCGCAGGGAGAGCTCTAATGGGAGATCAAGAAAAGAAAGACCACCTCTTTCCACACACCCTCAGCTGGGGAAACAAAGACTGCCCTCCTTCCCCTGTAGCCACTACCCCAGCCGGAGAGACTTTCCTATTTCCCGGTGCAGTCTGGCCTCCCGCCCCCGCCCCATGACAAAGAAAAGGCACTTGGTGAGCAAGGCCTTCCTGCCTCCACGGATGGGGGAGGGGGCTACGAGGCGAGAAGCCCCCTCCACGCACCCGCGCTCACACTCTCCGCCCCGAAAACTGCCCAACGCGGGGAGGAACCGAGGCCTCGGGGGGAAAGCCGGGTCCAGGAGGGGGTGAGGGGGTACCTTGAAGTAGCCGCCTTCGTAGAGGGTGTTGGGGGGTCCGAAGATGGCCACCTCCCAGTTGTAGAGGTCGGACTCATCCACCAGGGTGATCCGGAAGCCCTCCACCGGTTCCTCCTGTAGGGATTTCAGCTCGAGCATCAGGGCCTTCTGCGAGCTGGTCATCTGCTGCTGGGCCATCGCGGCGGCGGCGGCGGTGCCGGGCCGGGGCCCCAGTCCTCGCGCACCGGCCGGGCCGGACCAGGCCCCTCCCCTCCGCTCGCCCTCGGGCCGGGCCGCACGGGGCCCCGGTCTTCACACACCCGGCGGGCCGGACCAGGCCCCAGACGGCCCGTGGGCCGGCCCGGTGTCCTCACACGCGTCGCGGGCCGGGCCGGGCCCTTCTCCTCACACTCCGGCCGGGTGGGGGAGGGGTTGAAGGAGTTAGGGAAATCCGCTCCCGGTCAGGGGCCTCCCCCCCCCGGAGGGGGCCTCTACTTGGGGGGGGGGAGAGGAGGTGGAAGCCGAGGAAGGCGGCGAAGGGCCGGCGATGGTGAGCGGAGGGGGCCGGGCCGGCCCGGGAGCGCCGCGCTCGCTCGCCCTCTCGTTCGCCTCGGGGGCCGCCGGGGCCGGAGGGGGAGGGGGAGCGTGGCGCGCGGGGGTCTCGCGGCAGCGGCGGCGGCGGCGGCTGCGCGGGGGGAGGGGCGGAGGAGGAGAACGAGAGCGCCTCTCGCCGCGGGAGCGACGGAGCCGAGAAGGAGGGAGGGAGAGAGGGAGGAGGGGCGCGCGCCAGGAGGGGGGCGGCTCTTGGCGGCTGGCGGCCCGACGCGCGTGCGCGCGCCCCTCCCTCCCCCGCCCGCCCGCCTGCCTGCCTGCCTGCCTCGTCCTCCTCCCCTCCTCCCCTCGGTTCCCGGCTTCCATCCCTCCCACCCGCGCGGTGGCGGTGGCGGCGCTTTGTGACGCAGGCGCGTGTCCCCCGCCCTTAAAGGGCTAATCGCTGTAGGAGACTGAGGGCGGGCAGTCGAGAATCGCCTTGGCCCCAAAAGGTCGGTTTTGTGGCTTGGCGCCGCGGTTCCAGAGGCGTGTCCCGGAAGGGACTTTCAGGTCCAAGAGCTCTCAGTGACTTCCCCCAACGTGTATTCACCGGCCTCTAAACAGCAGTCCTAGGACTAGTCCTAGGACGAGCTCTAGTCCTCTACAGACCACCCCCAACCCCATCCCACCCCCGCGACACCCAGTTTGCAGTCCCTGAACTTAGTAGGTGCTTGAATAAGAAGGACTGAGAATATGGGTCATAGCGATGGGAACAAGATTTCCCAGCTTGAGGTTGGGGTTGTGGTTCAGTGGAAGAGTGCTTGCCTGGCAACTGTGAGGCACTGGGTTCGAGCCTCAGCACCACATATAAATAAATAAAATAAAGGTATTATGTCCATCTATTTCCCAACTTCTCTCCCAACTTAATCTACCGCAGATCCAACCTCCTGGCCTGTGTGCCACTGGGCAAATCACCCATCTTAGAGAGGGCATGTTTTCAAAAGAGAAAAGGCAGGAAGGCCAGTTCCTGCTTCCCTTAATAACTACAAAGAGGAAGTTATGAGGAAAGAGAATTAAACTAAGTTTCCTGGCCCTTCTCAATGTGCTATGGGATGGACAACTGCTCTGCTTATCCAGGTTTGTAAAACTACTGAGATTGGACTTTTGACACCCATTTTCTTCAGCTTGATTGTTCAACCTCCAACTCCTGAGATAATCATAACTGAAGTAAAATGTGGAGACAGTCTTCAGTCCCCATTATTTAGAATACTTCTTTCTCTTGGACTGGGATTGTGGCTCAGTGGTAGAGTGTTTGTGTGAGGTATTGGGTTTGATCCTCAGCACCCCATAAAAATAATAAAGGTATTATGTCCATCTACAACTAAAAATATATTTTTAAAAAAGAATACTTATTTCTCTTAGAAAAGCATGTGTTGTAACTGTGTAAACCCTTTCCCAGAAAAGCCAGCATACTGAGAGTTCCATTCAATTTTGAGATCACAGAGATCTTGGTTTCAACCCTGGTTCCACCACTTATATTAATTATACCTAACACAAGCAATTGTAATGATTAAATGAGATCATCTATGTATGGCATTTAGCATGGTGACTGGCAAGTGATCCATAACTAGGAGCTTTAAAGAACAGTATAGTTATTTTGTGGATACCACTCTTCATTTTTTTTAATACACTTTATATTTACAACAGTTTTAAATTTACAGAAAAAATGAGAAGACAGTAGGGTTCTCATGTACCTGGCACCCAGTTTCCCCTATTAATAACATATTAGTGTAGTATACTTATCACTAATATTGATACATTACTATTAATGTATTGTACATTATCATTAATGTTCATGCTTTATTCATATTGCCTTAGTTTTTGCCTAATGTCCCTTTTCTGTCCCAGAATTCCATCCAAGCTACCAGACTATAGTTTTCATGTTTCCTTAGACTCCCTCTTGACTGTGACAGTTTCTTAGACTTTTCTTGTGTTTGATGCCTTGATACTTTTGAAAAATATTGGTCAAAACAATTTTGTTTATAGTAGGGAGTGTACTGGGGATTGAACCCAGGGAAACTTTACCATTGAGCTTTATTCCCAGAACTTTTTGTTTTTATTTTGAAACAGGACCTCACTAAGCTGCTGGGTTTGAACTTTGTTCCTCCTGCCTGAGCCTCCCAAATTGCTGGGATTATAGGCATGCACCACCACCCCTGGCCTCAAATGTTTTGTAGGTGGTCCTTCACCTGGGATTTGTGATAAGACTGGGGTTATGGGTTTTAAGAGAAAAAATCATAGAAATAAAAATGCCATATGAGGACACATGATAACATGACTTAGCACTGTTGATGTTGACCTTGATCACCTGGCTGAGGTAGTAAGTATATCAGGTTTCTTCATTGTAAAGTATAGCCTCATCCTTCTTCTTCATCATTCTATACTGTACTCTTTGAAAGAAAATCAGTGTGCACAAATCATAAAGGGCCTTTCTCTTTTATTTCTTTCTTTCTTGGGTTTGTTTGTTTTCAATGAATGAGGTCTCCATACTTTAAAACATTCTCTAACCCCCAGCCTTACCTACCATCTAGGTCTTGAGACCAAACTCCACTAGAATTAGAGCTCTTGTCAGAGGAAGGGAAGTGTTGGGCTGGGGATGTGGCTCAGTGTAGAGAACTGTCAGGCCCTAAGTTGGAAGCTAGTAGGGAGGAGTGTCCTCCTATTCAATGCAACCCTCCTCCCAAAATAATGAGGTATGCCTTATTCAGGTTTCCAGTCCTCCACCAATTTAGGGACATGAAGATTGCTGACCTGGAAACGTGGGAGATGGTGTTGACACCTTTAATAGCAAGGTTGTGAGTAGACAAATAGGCAGAAAGTTCATCTTCAAAGCATTTCACCTATATGAAATCATAGCCTCACCCTGATCTATACAATGATAGCTCTCTCGCCTAACCCACTTGAATATACATCTGCCACCCAGACCAGAAGCTGTCCCCTGAGTTCAACTCACAAACTCATACTAAGTATCCACTATGGACATGATCCTAAGCTGGAAGGCTGGCAGCTTACTGTGGTAATGAGTTTTGTACTCAAGTCTTTCCCAATTTTCAAGTCAGAGGAACTGCAATTCTACAAAACTAGCTTCAGTAAAACATTACCTATTGGTAGGCTGCAACTGTGTCTTATTCATCCTTGTATCTCATGAAACCAGCACACAGTGTGACACAAAGTAGACACTAAGTAATTGTTCTCAGACTCATGGCCAAGGGCAGGAAGACAATCAGTATCTCACACACACACACACACACACAAAATTGGACTCCACTCGCAAGTCTAGGCTCTCAGGCACTCTCAGACACACAGTAGGTACTCAGGACTATAAATTTCATAACCATTTACCACCTACCCCAATGTTTGCCACATACTAGGTACTCAAAACATTTTTTTCCAGGCATGGTGGTTCATGGCTATAACTCCAGCTACTTGGGAAGCTGAGGCAGGGAGATTCCTCACAAGTTTGAGGCCAGCCTTAGCAATTTAGTTAGACCCTGCCTGGGGGGGGGTGCAGCGGGGCTGTGGCTTAGTGATACAGCATACCTATCGTGCAGGAGGCCCTAGGTTCAATCTTTAGTACTAAGCCACTATAGTCTAAACAAAGAATAGGGGCTGGAAGTAGCTCAATGGTACAGCAGCTTACCTACTATGTGCAAGGCCTTGGGTTCAGTCTCCAGAACTACTAGATAGGTTTATATCTAGATATATAGAGGACAGCATTTTTTCTTTTTTAATTTTTTTTATTTGTTTTAATTAGTTACACATGACAGTACAATGATCTTGACATATCATACATTTGAATCGGGGTATAATTTATCATTTTTCTGAGTATACAGGTTGCAGAATCACATTGGTCATAAAGTCACATATGTACATACAGCAATAATAATGTCTGTTTTATTCTGCTAGGACAGCATTTTTTTTTTTTTAATGAAAATAGTAGAAATAACTTCCTAGAGCTTTCTTTGTTTTCTAATGATAGGTTGAAATTTACTTGATTGATTAGTGCCCTCTTGTGGTAAAGAAAACAAAATACCAACCTTCCACCCTACCCCCCACCATGCTGGGGATGGAACCCAGGGGTGCCTATCACTGAGCCCTTTTTCTATTTCTGTTTTATTTTGAATTTTGCTAAGTAGTCCAGGTTTGCCTTTAGCTTTCATTTCTCCTGTCTCAGCCTCCAGAGTAGCTGGGATTATAGGTGTGAACCACTGCACCTGTCCTTCCCCTCAGTCACTAAGGCATCACTTAGTACTTGCAAACCTGGGAACTTGCAATTAATCCATTATCTTTCTTCCAAAGAGAAAAAATATGGTGCTGGGGTTGTGGCTCAAGCGGTAGCACGCTCGCCTGGCATGCGTGCGGCCCAGGTTCAATCCTCAGCACCACAAACAAAGATGTTGTGTCCACCGAAAAACTAAAAAATAAATATTTAAAAAAAAAAGAAAGAAAAAATATGGAAATCTTACCCAGGCACAGTGGCTCACAACTGTAATCCCAGCTGCTGGGGGAGGCTGAGGCAGGAGGATCGTGAGTTCAAAGCGAGCCTCAGCAACAGAGAGGCACTAAGTAACTCAGTGAGACCCTGTCTCTAAATAAAATACAAAATATGGCTGGGGATGTGGCCAAGTAGTCGAGTGACCCTGACCCTGGGTTCACCTCCCCACACACACACACAAAGGATAGGAAATCTTGGTAAGTTAAAGTGGAGGAAGATACATTTGGGTTAGGAAGGATAATTCTGACTTTTAAGAATGACTCTTTTTAAGAGGCCAACATTTTTCAAATTCAACATATTAACATATATGTAAGATTTAGACACTGTTTTTAGGAGCCACAATATTTCTCTAATAATAATAGCTAACATTTTCTAAGCATTACCATGTGACAGGATTTTTACATGCAGAATCCATTACATGGTTATTTGTAGAATATGTTACTGAATAAAGCAAGGCTTAAAGAGGTGAAAATATGGGCTGGGGTATAGCTTAACAATGGAACACTTGCCTAACATATGCAAGGCC